CACTTCAGATACATATATATATATGCAAAACTATTATTTTCCCATCCTGAGATGAGTTCCTTTTATGGGATTATTTTGCTGGCTGCTGCCTAGTCTTTTTTGTTTTTTAAAGGCCATAATTAAACCATCTTTTAATAAGTTTTTTCCAAAAGGTAAAAAGCTGGGAAGAGTTTGAAAAGAAGAAAAGGCAGACGGAATGGGGGGGAAAAAAATCCAATGGGAAAAAGAGACTGGAAAAGTTTTTTTCCTCAAATTGCCCAAGAAGTATTTGCAAGGCCTCCTTCGAGCGCCGCTAAAACAAAGAGAGAACGGATAGTATTTAGATTTTCGTAATAACCAGCTGCATCCGCACTGCAGAAATAATCCACATTTGGCACCATTTAACCACCGGGGCTCAGCGCTGTGAAATTCTGGGATTTGTAGTTTGTTAGGGCTCCAGAACCCTTTGACAGAGAAGGCTAAATATCTCACACAACTGCAAAACCCAGAATCCCATAGCATCGAGCCACGGCAGTTAAAGTGGCGTCAAAGTGGATCGTCTCTGCAGTGCGGACGCAGCCGCCTCTGTGTGTTTTTCGAGCGGTCAGTTTTATCTGGTTGAAAATACACTTGGTTGTGGTTTGGATCCAGGACCACCAAAATCCATGGATGCTCAAGTCAATAATAATAATAATAATAATAATAATAATAATAATCATTATCATTATCATTATCATTATCATTATTATCACTGGGCCCTCAGTATTGGCTGGGGTTCCGGTTCCTAGAAATATTTACATATTAAATATTCAGAAATATTTAAATATTATTATACTTATATAAAATGGCACAATCAAGGTCTGCTTTTTGCATTTTTAACATTTCTGAATATTTTCAAGCGCAGGACGGTTGAATCCGTGGATGCAGGATCCGTGGCCACGGAGGGCCAATTGCAAATGTTTTGGGTCTTGACCGTCCTTGCGTGGATTTGCATCCAGTCTAATTCTTGAAATTCCCCCGTTTTCTTCCCTCTTGCCAATCACACATTTCAGAAACTGATTTTCACCATTTATTTATTCATTATTTATTGGATTATCCCAAAATGGGATTCCAGCGGCTTTCCGTGGACATGGGAGACTGACTGTATTATTTATTTCTAGAGATGTCATGGCCTGGAAAAAAATTTGGAAAATAGAATCCCATTTTCCCCATTTTTTTTCCTGGAATCATGCTAAAATAAAACATTCCATAATTTATTTTCTTCCTTTTTAATTTTTTTCATTTTTCCTTGTTTTTTCCATTATTTTCCTTTTTTTTTGTCTGGGCCTTCACAACTCTAATTAATTCTTAATTATTTTATACGTAATTTAGACTGCATCTACTTATTAAATGCATCTACTTATTAAATGTATGCATCTACTTATTAAATATTTGCTGGTGTTACGGGATCCCTGTGAAAGTGGAAAAACCACAAATACTCTTATTTTCACCTCCGAGAACCATAGAATCATAGAGTTGACAGAGACCCCAAGGGCCATCCAGTCCAACCGTATTCTGCCATGCAGGAAGACACAATCAGTTTAAGGAATCTCTAGGTCCTCCAGTGCAACTCTATGGTCAACATCTGCCAGAAGTTGAGCGTAGAATCGTGTTGGAGGACCTACAAAAGCCTAAAGACATGTTTTCTCTAGGAAAGCAACTCTATGGTCCACATCTATCAGAGGTTCAGTGTAGAATTGTGTTAGAGGACCCACAAATGCCTAAAGACATGTTTTCGCTAGGAATCTCTACGTCCTCCATCACAACTCTATGGTCAACCTCTGCCAGAATTGAACTGGAGGACTTAGAACAGCGGTTGGCAACCTCAGCGGACCGAGGGCGGTCCGCTGGTTTCCGGCGCGTGCGTGCATGCGCGCGCATGCTGTACTTTCGGGGCGAGCGCCGTACTTCCAGTGCAAGCACACGTACGTGATTGCGTCGCGGCCGCCATTTGGAGTCCAAAATAGCGGCTGTGACATGATCGCGCCTGTAAGGGGGCTGGACGCGGGCCGTAGGTTGCCGACCCCTGACTTAGAACGTATTACCCAAATCCATGAAAAATCAAATCCGCAAGCGCCGAAGGGACAAATGTGGAGGGCTGTGACTGTATCTTTTCCATCTAGGCTGTTCTTCTTATGAATGCACCTCTGTTGCGTCCCTTCCTTTTATTTCCTGGGCCAAATGCGCCATTGAACCGGCCGGACCCTTCTGTCCTGAGACTTGGTACCAATGGGGCTCCCAAAAGCTGGCCCTTCCATTCCACAAGCGAGGGGCCGCGACGGAGAAGGCCGCCTTCCTTCCTCTGCCCTGGGCACTGGTTTGACCCGTCCTCTTCCTCTGTACACACGCCAGGGTCCCCACAGGACGTCCCCTTGGTCACCTCCAACGTCCGGTTTTGTAATGACCACTACACGGGACATAATCCATGCCTCACATCTTTTACGCTTGCAGTTTTTCAGTTCTCTTAGAATCATAGAGTTGGAAGAGATCACAAAGGTCATCCTTCCTTCTAGTATTTCTGGTTGTCCCTCCACGCTTGCGGCTTTGACTTTTGCGGATTTGGTTATCCAAGGATATGAGTAATAGGTTTTAGGTCCTCCAGTGTGGCTCCGTGGTAGGTTGACCATAGAGTTGTGATGGAAGACCTAGTGTTAATTCTTAATTCTAGTATTTCTGGATTCTACTACAGTTGTCCCTCCACTGTAGCTTGCGGCTTTGACTTTTGCGGATTTGGTTATCCAAGGATACGAGTAATATGTTATCGTAAGGAATCTCTAGGTCGTCCAGCACGCCTCTGTGGTCAAAGATGTCACACTGGAGGACCTTAGAAGCTCCTAGAGTGGACACTTCTCTAGGCATGGGTAGGTCCTCCTGCGCAACTCTGTGGTCAAATGTCCAGCAGATGTTGACCTTAGAGTTGCACTGAAGGACCCAGAAATTCCTAAAGAGAACAGTTCTCTAGGCATTTGTAGGTCCTCCAGGACAATTCTGTGGTCAACCTCTGGCAGATGTTGACCGCAGATTTGTCCTGGAGGACCTAGAGAGGTTGTTGTTGTTGTTATTGTTATTGTTGTTATTGTTATTTGTGATTTTCCCACTTTCCTGGGGGTCCTCCACCCCCAAGTCCAGCAAAAGTGGAGTGTCCACTGTACTAACCTGCCCTTGAACCTGGAGTTCATCTCTAGAACCCGAACGTTGTCTGCTATTTCACAAAATTTCTGCAAAATTTGGTAGTCATAAAAACTTCTTTTAAAAATGCATGCTGGTTTTATAGGAATTTGGCGCCCTAAATAAAAAAATGGATTCAGATTTTCTCCATCTTCACATACAGGGTTTGTTTTTGTTTTGCTTTTTTGCAACCCAGTTTTGACATTTATCTTTGTTGTCATACGGTACTGAATAAAACAATCCTGCAAAGAGTAAGAAAGGAATTAGGGTTTTAACTAACAAACTTTCAAAACACTTTAATTTGCTGCTTTGCAATATTTATATTTATTTATTTAAGGGTTGTATCTATCTCCCAAAATGGGATTCAAGGCAAAATACAAAATACAAAAATTCATTCGAAAGCACTAAAAGAAATCACATTGGAACCTCTTCCACACTTAATTATTGTTACTACTATTAAATTTATTTATATGCCTCCTTTCTCCGGAGAGAGGGGCCCAAGGCGACTTAATCAAAGCTGAGTAACAACAAGATTTCCTTCATCATGGACAGTTTTTTCGCGACTTGCTTTGATACTTTTGTCAAATTGAAAACAAAAACAGTGAAATGATCCTGCAGAGATATTACCTTGCAAAGAGTAAAAAAGAGATTGAAGTTTAACTACCGTAACCAGCTTTCAAAACACTTCAGTTTGTTGCTTTGAAATGCAAAAAATCTGTTCAAAAGCATGAAAAGAAATTGCACTGGAACATCCATATCTGCACTGTATTATTATTATTAGTAGTACTAGTATTATTTCATTAATTCAAGCCTTTATTGCAGATAACAAACCATAAGGCAAGATGATGATGATGATGATGATGATGATTACGATTACAATAATAATATTTTTATAAAACCAACCAAACATCCCGACTGTTATATACATGTTACACACCTATAGACAAAACTGTAAGCTCTCTATATTGGAATGTCAGAACAAACCATATTAAAATAAAACGGGGGTATAAAATTATAAAATATAAAATATGAAATGTGTTCAAAATACTATTGTTATTATTTCGTTTATTTATATTCTGCCTTTCTCCTGATACAGGGACTCAAGGTGACTTAATGAAAGCTGAGTAACAAATGAATTGATAAACATTTCAGATTTGTGAAAGCACTGTGCGGCATGACATTTTTATTGTATTTCTGGAA